ATGAATTCCATTATTGCAAAGCTGCATGGACTACGGTATTTTCTTATACCTGTCTGAATGGACAGCTCCCAAACTCTCCCGGTGGATACCGTGGTGAACTTCCTAGCTTAAAGTGTTCTGGGAAATGTTCTCTGTGATGTAAGAGGTTGGCCTGAGATACATTTTTGAACCACATTATTTCATAGAAACCTTAAGTAGAATCTTAAGAAAAACATGAGTTTCTCCTTGATATCATAATCTATACTCTGTGCAGTATGTGTTCAGATTGTTGTACTTTGAATCTTGCTGGATAAGTTGCTTGTACGTTGAGTTTTACTAAGTGTTCTCTCATCATGGTCTATTTCCTGATATTTAACGTTCGTAAAATTTATATGGGGCCAGAGAGACTCTGGCATCTCATTTTACAATGGAGATTTTGTGCAAACCTCAAAGAAGGCATTTTTTACAGTGCTTTATAGCACCCCATGATAGTTCTTTTCATGCACAAATTAAGGGATGTTAGGCAAACTCCCAGGCTTCTTTTGAAAGCTAATGGACAATGTTAGTACCGTGCTGGCCACCAGAAGGAAGTGTGAAAACTCTAAACCCCTGGGATGAGGGTGTGATCAGTGATAGGGTGCTCCCCCAGCATGTGCAGGGTTGCACGTGCCTAGCATAAAGTAAAATACAATAAACCTCAGTACACTGACACCTAGGGACATCTAAGTCACAAAACCAGCACAAATCACATAAAACTTGGTGAGACTTTCATGATGGTGCCGTCATAATCCCAGGCAATTCCCCATTCTCATTGCAGTAGTTACAAAAGCCAGGCCGTGCCAGCTTCAGACATAGTTCTTTATCCTCAAAGATGATGTTAGGGATATCTATCAGTTTACTCTTTGTAATAGCTAACCTAAGCCAGTTTCCTCTGTTCCGTCACACTGAATTGAAAGAGGAAAAAAAAAAAAAAAAGACAAGTGATGAGGCCCAAATCCTTTCCTTGTTGTTGTTTTTCTGGACAAAACAGCTCCTGTCTGCTGGCCCTATGTGCATTGCTCTCTTCTCCTCCCTCTCCAGTGTCAACACCATCAGCCATGACCTTTTCTTCCTCCTCATAAGCACCTGATCACATGTGCCAGCCTTCCCCGGCAGGTCCTGCCGGTACCACCTGGCTGGCATTTCACGGTGATATTTATTCCATCTGTACAGCAGCAGTCTCCCCCCGTCTGAGGCTCTGCCGGCCACCGAGCAATACCCTGGAAACACCCAGCCAGGGGGACGCGGAATACTTGAGACTCCAGTCACTTAATCCAGGCCGAGGGAGCTGGGGATGCTGTCGCCACCATCTCCAATTTTACTCTCATCCTTTAAAGCTTCTAATTACTGATTTTAGTAATTTCTCCTTCAAAGGAGATTTCTGTCTTCTAAGAAACAACATGATCAGTTCGAAGGCTCTTGATGCCCCACTTGGGGAGCAGGGCTGCACGAATGTACGAGTTTCTATTGTCTGACTGCGGTTTCGCTGGTCAGCAGGGAGCTCTCGTCTGCAGGTAAGCTGCAGGGCCCCTGAGCAGCTGGGTGCCTCTTGATCAGCAGAAGGGGATGGAGAACCACAGAATCACCCTGTTGCAGCTAATCAGCCATCAAACCCACAGCTACGAGGGTGCTTCACAGCAGACTCTTGGGAAATAATTACCTCCTTCCCCTCTCACCTGCAGAGCTCCAGGAAACCTCCCTTTATCAGGGATCCCAGAGAATGTGGTGCAAACATCAGCCTGGCAGATACAAAGTGCCAGGAAGCAGCAGGGAACCAGGTGGGGCTGCAGTTGATTGGCTTGGGATGAATAGGTCCACTCCATATATGAAAAAGTACATGTAGCTATCAGTTTCACCATTGACTCAAGGAGAAACTTCATTCTCTGCAGACAAATAACCACGTAAAACAAAAAGAAAACCTGCCTTGTCTATTCCTGTAAAGTGAATTAGTGCAATCGACGGTAAATGTGACCTTGCTTTCTTCAACAGAGACAATGTAGAATTTTACTAACCCTGCTGCATACTGTAATTCACAAGTCAGGTCATGCAAGATAGGAGGCAAAGGCCAAAGGCATCCCGACAGATCAGCACATGTGGAAGCATGGCCCAGGGCCCCAGTCCAGGTCCACCCTGGGAGTTGCCTGTGCTCCCTGACCTCACCTGCAGAGACATGGCAGTCCTCTGGACAGGACCCTCAGTGCCTGTGTCTCGGGCACCCCTTGTCTTGCACCAGGCAGCTACCTCGGCAGGAGCAGCCTGTGTGCTGTCCACTTTGATGCAAAGGGGGTGTGGAAGGAGAACTTGCCATTTGTCTCTGAGTGGCAAAGAGAAGCCATGGTGCCTAGCTAATTTAGAGCTGGAAAGACGGTATCATGAACCCACGATCACTCCCACTCATCGGAGGAAGAGGGCCCGAAGGGAGAGACTGACTGGGCAGTGGCTGTGGATCTGAGGTCAGAAGTGAGGTCTGCACCTCGGGTCCATCGCCACTTTCTGGGGCAACAATGAACAGACTGAGAGCCAACATGGAGAGGAAGCAGCCAGGAAACAAGGAGGCTTCTAATCTTCCAAAAGAGCGACTCCCCCACAAAGCACCACTCTTGTATTCACTTTCCAAGAAAAAGCTGGGGGATCCTAGGACATTCTGCAAACCTACTCTGTTGAAGGAGAGCTTATGCTCCCAGGCAGGGAAACAACCTTCAGGTCACAGTGACAACAGGGACAGCCTCTTCCGCTCCTTCGGATGGGAAGCTATCAGGTGCTCCTGGAGTTAGGGGCCACACTGCCCCAGCCCCTGCTGAGAAGCAGGTCAGCCCAGGGCTGCTCCTCAAATGCTAGGACTGCAGTACAATGGCAAGGCATGCAAAGTCCTCAGAAAGGCTAGTATTGGATTCCCTGGCTCTGTCCTTGGTGCTGAACATGCAGCCTTGAGGTATGAGATTGGAGCTCACAGAACAAAGGCAAAAAGGATGCCCTGAAGGAAAATGTAATGGGTAAAGGATTGAAAGTGGTGGGGCACCGTGGAGGGCAAGTGAAGAGCACAGGCCTCTCCATCCCCTGCCTGGACAGCCAGGCTCTGGAGCTCACATGATAAGGTTCACCTTGAGCACCCTGGGTCACAGGGTGCTAACCTGTGACCAAACAGGAGCTAAAAAATTGGTGGGGGTGCGGGGGAGGGGGCTGGTCCCACTGTGCACTCTATGAGACCGCAGGACTAAAATGGACACGTGAGAGGCTCCATAGCCACAAGATGCTGCAGTGGCCCTGGGCACAAGTGTCCTGACCCAGGTCCCGTAACTGGGGCACATTTCCAACCTATAGGGCTCACCCTGAGACAGCAGAGAGGATGCTGGGGCATCCTATGACATCCTTGGATATGCCCTTCCTGCAGTGGTATTGTTCAGAAAATGCCCAGGGCCACCTGCTAGGGCTTCCTCGGTATCAGGCCACAAGCCAGACAGGAAGTATAGTCCCCACCCACCAGAGATCTCGCTGAGTTCCTTGAAAAAAAAGCACGTGTCACTCCAGCATTCTCACTGAATGAAATCTTTGAAAGTCAAACTTCTTGTCTAGCATTAAAACTTTGACACTAGCAGAGTCTTCACAGAGTATACACGACAATGCCAAAGCTCTGAGGACACAGAGGGGAGGTCCTCAGCACTGCAGTAGATAGCAGATGGGTGTGCTCACCAACACGGGCGAGGATACCTCCCAAATAGCTCCCCTGGCACAGGTGTGTGCATGGACAGCACAGTGCAGCATCTCAACCTAGCATCAGTCACTATACTGCACACACACGAGTCCTTCCCACCTGGTAGTACACAACAGAGCACTTGCACACGAAAGGAAGCTGAGGTCTGTGACTACTCATCCCCTGGCAGCACAGACCTTATCCCACACTCATCTTTTTCTGCCTCTGCCTGCAGATCAGGTCTCTGTTCTCGTGTCCTCCTGGAGTGACCACGGCTCTGCCTGAGGCTCACATTGTCAGCTGCTGTGCCTCTGGGAATACATGGTCTCATGTGCACACTCATACTCACACCCTGTTTTCTGGGCAACACGGCTGTTGTTTGGAATGTGGGGCCCTTTGCAGGAGCTGATGGGAGCAGCTGAGTGACGGTGCCCAGGTGATGGCATCAGGCTTTAGGACCCGTCTGCCTCCCTCACTCTGCAAGGCAGTGTGACTTGCATATTGAGGTCAGCTCTGTCTAACACCGCTGGCCGGGCAGAGGCACAATCATCACCAAGCAAAGCCCTGGATGATGCCTGCAGCCTGACTGACTCAGACCACCCACGTGCAGCACTGTTCTGTCATGACTGCAAGGTCCAACCCTACACAGGGACCTGGAGGAGAGAGACAGAGACAGAGACAGCCCAGCTCCAGCCCCTCCTGAGGGAAGCATTCTCTGTCCTCCAGCAACAATGATGCAGCATAGCTCCTCAAGGACCACCACATCTGGCTCATATGGCCTTGTCACTGCTGTCCCCTTGGGGACAGTGACTGTTTGAGGTCAGGCCCCCTGGCCATCACACTGGTATCCCTGGAGCTGGTGAGCTGTGTGTGACAAGTGCCTAACCAACCACATGGAGGGGAGGAGTCCTCTCTAATACAGTGACCGCCAAGGGTAAACAATAGTGGCCCATGAATACTCACAGGGCTCTATCAGTACAGCCCCTTCCTGTGGAAGCTGTGGGAGTGGTCAACCTCCAGTCACTAGCTGGGGAGCCCCCATGTATGGAAGTTACATCTCCGGTCCTGCAGGCAACACCTACAGGTGAGTATATAGCACATAGGGCTCAGGACACCGCATGCCAAGCACACTGCACACCCAGAGTCCCCAGGGAGGAGGAGTTACGCGCCTTCAACAGGAAGCGACAGGTACCATCTCTGCACAGTGCCTGACTGTGTCATTCTTCTGTCAGGTGGTTGTGTGGCCCTAGCTTACAGGAGGAGAGGAGGACAGCATCGAGCAGTTTCCTACCAGGCCACATTGCAGGGGGCGGCACTCCCAAGGTGACACAGCAGCTCCAGGGTCTGTGCGGTGCTGGCAGAGTCATCAGGGGACTCCTGGCCGCTGGACTCCAGATCCTTGGGCATCCTCCACACGGCTGCACATCCCAGGACTCGGCTGTCGGAAGCTGAGCAACAGAGGAGGACATCAGTAGGGCAACAGGGACAGTGCCTGACATGCACTCAGCTGTAAAGGGGACATCTACTCCCTAGAACCCTGACACTGCCAGCAGAGAGCACAGGTCAGATGAGCAGGGCTACACACAGAACAGGCACTGTCAAGCCAGCACCCATCCATGAGCCCACCTGCTCCTTGTCTCAAAACCATTGTTCTGTTTCAAATGTTATTTTCAGCTGGGCATGATGGTACATGCCTGGAATCTCAGCATTTGGGAGGCTGAGACAAGAGGATCACTGCAAGTTCAAGACCAGCCTGGGCTACACAGTGAGACCCTGTCTCAAAAAGACAAAAAACAAAAAACACCTGAAGTTATTTTCTCAAAGTTGATGTCCTCCCATCCTTCAACATGTCTTCAAACACAGGAGCAAAATAGAGGGGTGGAGGTGACATTAAAGGGGTCTCTCTGCCCAAAGCATTATGGAGTTGTCAGAAACAAGATGTAAACATGCAAAATGCCCTCCATTTGGAGACCCTGCTGGGAATACTGTACTACCTCAGTTTACCTAACAGGATGCAAGTCTGGGCTCAGAGGTGCCACTGGCTGTAGTCCACAGGTCTCACTCATGGTGCCTGAGGCTCAGCCTCAGCTCCAGGCACTGAGAGCCCTGACAGCAATTTTCACAGATGATCTGAGGGCACCATGTGGATGGAGACTGAATCCACATGTGAAGGTTAAGAATGTGCAGGCTCCAGGCAAACCTCTCAGTATGACACGGCCTTCAAAACTGAGCTACAGAACTAGAAGTGTAGCTCAGTGTAAATGGCTTACCTAGCAGAGTGGCCCTGAGTCTGACTGCAACCAGCACCATACACTGAGGCTCCAAAACACTAGATTTAACATTAAATTCATATATAAACATTTCTCAAAATGTGCGTTCTAGAGGGTCACAGTGGCTTACACCTGTAATTCTAGCACTTAGGAGGCTGAGGCAAGTGCATTCCATTTAGTTTTAAATTGCCAGTGTGCTAAAAACCTTCCTTTCCATTTTAAAGGAAACTTAATAAACAGGTTTCAAAATTAAATCATCAAGTCATCTCAAATGAAGAACAGAACATGTCTTTTTTTATTTCTGATCTCACTAAGTTGCCCAGGATAGCCTCAAACTTGAGATCCTCCAGTCTCAGCCTCCTGAGAACCTGAGATTAGAGGTTACATTGCACTAAAGCAAGAAAAAACACTTCACAAACAGTATTTCCTACATGAGAACAACAAAAATGACACATACAGCATTATAAAAATGAGAACCTTATATTATAATTGAAAATACACCCCTTATTATTAGCTACCATGGCCTTGCAAGCTAAGTGTCAATTTCCTGAACCATGAAATAGCCCTGGGCACAATGACACAGTCCCCAGCTTCACACATGTTATTATTATTACCACCAGTAACCATGCTCAGATAATCATAGAAGGGTTAGGATCTCAGTCAAGGCTTTCTGATTTAAACTTGTGTGCTCATGTCAGATATTTTATTGGGTCTAAGAAAATGCAGACTTTTGATTTAAAGAGCCAGACATATTATTTATCTGTATTCAGCAAAACCTTGATTTCCAAGCACAGTTCATTTCAGAAACAGGCTTGTAATCCAAAGCACTTGTGTATCAAAGCAAATGGTCCCACAGGAAATGATAGAAACTCAGATGATTCCACCACCCAAAAATATTCATATAAAAATGCTTATAGAAGCTCTGACATGCTGATGGCTAAGAGCCTCCACTGGAAGAGAAATCGGGCCTTCTCTTGGCCAGCTGGTACATGGGCTGAAAAAAAGGGAAGAGCATCCCCCACCCTGGTGATTCGGGGGACTCAGGGTGAGATGATAGTAACTGAGGGAAAGGGAAGAGCTTGATGCCTGTATTGTTTGGCTAACTCTGCAGGCCCGGGGCTGGTGGTCTGGGCATCTACTTGGAGTATGGCAGTGTGCCTTGTGTCAGCTGTGGGGATTTCCTCCTCTCTCGTGTTTGAAATCCAATGTTTTGTTCCATTTTATTGTTTTGTTTCATCCCTGCGCCTGGTAACCTAAGCCATTATTTTGACGATAACAATGTGCTGTATTGCTTTGTTTTGTTTTGTTCCGATTTACTGTTTTATTTAATATTATGGTTTGATTGCTTTTATTCTGTTTTGTTTTGTTTGATTTTCCTATGTCTGATGGTAGGGCCAACTCTTGTGAAGATGGCCCCACATATTATGGTATCATTGCTGATTTCCTATTATCCTGTTTTGAAGCTCTGTATCACTTTCACTGCTTTGTTTTGATTGGCTCTATTCTGTTTTGTTTTGTTGGGTTTCATTCTCTTTAAAATAAAATTTTAAAAAATGACTACAATAATACAAGTAATAAAGAAAAATAAACTGATCTCAATTATCCTTTGAAAACCTTCTTGACTTGTATGAGGGAGACAAGAAGGAGGAGGGTTAACTGTGTATCAGTTGGAAGCTTTTTCTTTTTGTACAACTTCACTTATTTATTTTATTTATTTTATTTTATTTTATTTTTTAGACAGGGTCTTACTACATAGTCCAGGCTGCTCTTGAACTCATTCTGTAGCCCAGGCTGCCTTCAAACTTGCAGCAATCCTCCTGCCTCAGCCTCCAGAGTGCTGGGATTACAGGTATGCAAAACCACACCTGGCTCATGCAGCTTTAACAAAGAACCTACCCAATGACACTTGTTTTTGCCTTCTTTAGAGGATTCTATGAAAAAGTGACATTGCAGTGTCCTTACACAGATCTGTCACTCACACTGCTGCAGCCTTATTTGGGTGGTGTTTTCTACAAAATTTTGCACTGTTACCCACATTTTATACATGTCCCTACTCTCATCTGAAGCAAGGATTCCTTTGCTTCTTTTTTCTCTGCAGATGAGATCTCCTCCATAGCCTGCTGTTGGGAGACATCACCCACAATCCTGCAGAGGAGAGAGAGGCAATTCAAATTCACCAGCTCAATTGTGCTCAGGTGATGCTTGGGGCAGGTACTGCTCCTATTGCAAGACATCACTCGCTTAGCAAATTAAAACTTTTTGGAGATGTTTGCTCACAGAACACTCATGGAACAAGTCATTTACAGCCCAAGGTTTTACTGTGTGTACCAATATTTTAACATTAACACCTCTACTTTTTTTTTTTATTGGTACCCAGGATCGAACTCACAACCTCGAGCTTGCCAAGCAGGTGCTTCTGCCATTGAGCTAAATCCCCAGCTAACACCTCTACTTTTAACTATGTGCTATAGTACACAATGACTTCTGTGTGCATGTGAATTGAATTTTTGGCTGATGTTTTCAGTCACATGGCCTTTAGGGGCCCATGAGCTGCAAGCGTGTACTAATTTATATATATATAGTTTTAAAAAGCAAAACAAAGAAAAGATAATCTGGTGAGTACTGAGTGAGTTCAAAGTCCCTTTGACAAAGGGAAAATCAATGTAACCACCAACCTTTGAGCTTGTGTTCCTCAAAATCAAAGAATGAACTCTAAGAAACAATGGAAATTAATAACAGGAAAATTTTATTGAGACAGAGAGTTCCTAAGAAACAACAGGGGACCTGGAAAATTGAGTTCTATAGAGTACAATCACAAGGTGGATGTAAAATCCCGAGGTGGGTACAACTCGGACAAAACTATGATCAACCAATAAGATTATGAGTTTAGCTGTTTAAGTAATATTGATCCAACTGGGAAGCAGGTCACACAGCAAATGGACCTAAAAAAAACCAGGGCCTTTCAGAAACAGATGAATGGGGGCAGGGTGAATGTTAATTTATTGTCTACCTCTAAGAGTGGCAGTAGGTCGGGTCATTTTGTCTTTGTCTCGAGGCCTGGCTTCCAATAGATGTGCCTCCAGCCACAATTGTAGTGTGTTCTCACCAGCCCTGTCTGGCTGCCTGGAATATGTCCACCCAGCTCAGCAGTCTGTAATGCTTTACTGAGAATCTAAACATTAGAAGTCACCTTCAGGGCTCAGAAAGCTGCCTGCATTTGGAGCAGCAGCCAATACCATGGACCTGAGAGAACAACACAGAACATGGCTGCAAAACTGGCTGTATGAAGTATGCACTTCCCGCCCAAGAAACGCTGCAGGCTGATCAGTAATTTCTAAAGCCTCAGGAGCTGATGAAATTTAAGGTAAACAGCACTAAGAAACACGGGAGGTTTGCCCACGGAGACACACAGATTGTTTCTGAAGCTCCGAGGATTTCCATAGCTGTACGATCCGCAACAGAGCGCTCAATGCACTCCCAGCAGATATCAAAGACACGAAGGTGTTCTGAGAAGGGAAAGCCGGTCTTCAGAAGGAAAGCGCTGTAAGAACCAGGGAGGCAGTTGTCTTTCATCTCTGTCTTTAACTCTGTGCTGAGATTAGGTCCTGGAATATAGCTGCCTGTGCTGAATTCAAATCACAATGACAAGGAGCCCGCAGAGGGCAGGGTGCAAGGCCCCTGCATACAAGTCCAGGCCTCACAGCACAAGTTCAGTATAACCAGGGTGACAGCACAAAGGTCAGGGCCACTGCCCACAGTCACTCCAGCCACACTGACGTGAGAGTCACAGCCATGGGACAGCTGGGCTTGGAAAGAAGGCAGACTTCACGCTGAATAAACCCAGCCGCCCCACTGTACTAATGAAGAAACTGAGGCCCACTGAAGTTAACCGACTTTTCCAAGTGCACACGGCTCATTAGCACCGGAGTCAGGAGTGAAATGAGGCCTCTTGACTCCTTCACAGGCCACTGCTCTGAAGGAGAAAATACCAAGCGGAATCTGTAAAGCCAATTTGAGGCCTCTGTCTATTTTTTTGGTTTAATATGGAACACAAGAGCTCAAGGCACTTAATGAGATAAAAAGATAATCAGGGCCACATGAATGGAAGAGGCATACTTGAGGGGCCAACTGTACCCAAGCAGTATGAGCTTGCTGGAAGGGATTAGGGAGTCAAAAGG